TAATCATTAGTATTTTATAGTTGCCACCCAAAGGGGTACTATAGTTATATATTGTATTTATATTTTTAAGTTATATAAACGTGTTGTTAACTCAAAGCATTATTGTTGTGAGTATTTTATTTTATTATATTTATTTTATTATATCCCTTAATACGCATGTTACATCTGTTCTGGTTCTTAATAGGACTAACTTCTCATAATGGAATGAGTAAGTTGAGTTCAAAATTTAGATGTGTTAAATTAATATTTAGCATTTTAAATTAAGAAACCTACTGTTATTACTGATAAAGACAGTTCTCCATAAAGTTTGGGAGAGATCGAACAGATTAAGCATTATAGTTATGAGAATAATTGTTTCCCATAATGATAGTGCTAAGGAATATTTTGACTAGAAGAAGTTTCGTATTATAGATAAATATCTAAAACGAAAATTATTAATTTATATCACTACTATGCAATTTTGTTGGTACTCTTACCATGTATAGGTATGTTTTTTTTTAGATGACTAATGTTGCTACAAAATTGAGAACCTTATGGATGATTGTGAATGAGAATTTTCTTATTCAATTTATTCTCAATTTCTTGTCTATTTAGTATAGGTCATTTAGAGATTAAGATTATTAAGACAAGTGGAAAGTGAAAGAATTGACCGTTATGTTAATTTAGGAAGAGACAAGGCTTAAGCAGCAAGGTAATCATTATGTTCATCTGATGACTCAAGAAGGTAGAAAGAAATTTGGGAATAAGCCTGAAAGGGCATTAAGTGAGCAACCCCTAAAATTAAAAGATTTAGGTCAATTTACTAAAAGAAAGTAATGTAATAATGAAAAAGTGTCATTAATGTATTGAACACTTTTAGAAAGATTACATGAAATATAAAGAATGATTCGAAAAAGAATTGTAAGTTTTTGGCTTTTGTATATTTCGAATTACTTATTAAAATTCTTTCTAATACATGATAGATTGACTTAAGTACTAATGTTTATATTTCTAATAGATGCAAGAATTTCTTATGGCCTAAACCACAAATTCAAATAAGAATTTCTTATTTATGATAATTGGGTAAAATTTTTGTTGAAACCATTGTGACATTTTGTTTAGTGTTAGACAGTGAATTTTATTTCAATTATTTTAAACTTTTTATGTTTATTCAATTTCCCATAATTTGATCTTATTTCAAAACTTTATGTTAATGGCTTTTTATTTAAATTTGATAATGATGTTGTTTAAGAAATTCTAATTTGTGAGTTATAGTATTATTGTTGATGATTTCTGTAAATTCAAACTTGATAGTTTATTTATTAAAAAATCTTTTGATCTTGCATCATAATGTTATTAATAGAAAATTTATCTTTCTTGTGGCATAAAAGACTAGGTCAATATCTAGTAAAATATTAAGAAAATTAGTAAAGGATGTAATTCTTCTGAATCTAAACTTTACTAATTTTGGTATGTGTGAATTGTATTAAGGGTAAACAAACCAAATACACAAAGAAATGAGCCACAATAAGTAAATACCTTATTGAAATTATCCATACTGACATTTGTAGACCTTTTGATATTCCATCTTTTAGAGGAGAAAAGTATTTTATCGTCTTTATAGTTGATTTTTCACATTATGGATATATCTATTTGTTGTATGAAAAATCTCAAGCAGTGGATATTCTTGAAGTATACATAAATGAGGTTGAAAAACAATAGAAAAGTGAAAATCATGAGGTCATATAGAGGTGGTGAATATTGTGGAAAGTATGATGAAACGGGTTAATACTCTAACTGTTTGCTAAACTCCTTAAAATATATGACATTTGTGCTCAATACACTTTGCTATATATGTTACAGCAGAAGCGTGTAGCTGTAATGCATAATCTTACTCTTATGGAATTGGTTAGGAGTATCTTAAGTAATTCTTCGTTACCCATAATGTTGTGGATGTTAAGTAATCTAAAGAGTACAAGTTTTACTATCCTAAATAGAGTACGATAATTATTGAAACCGGTAATGTCAAATTCATTGAGAATGGTGAAGTCAGTGAGAGTGATAAAAAATAAGAATTTGATCATTACAGAAGTTAAAGTACAAATCTCTTTACCCATAACTTCTAAGGAAATAATTGTTCCTTCAGTTGTTGAATTGTATAACAACGAAAAACAATTGAATGATCAATAACTCTATAATGAGATTGTCACCAATGAATAAATTGTAGAAGAATCATAAGGAATAACATTAAGACGATCTCAAAGAGAAATGAGATCTGCTATTCCGGATGACTATGTGATATATCTGCAAAAATCTGATTTTGATATATAGTGAGATATATACGGATCCGGTTACATATTCACAAGCCATTAACAGTAATGATTTTACTAAATGGATTAGTGTCATGAATGAAGAGATTATAAAGAAGCCTTCTCTCTAGTATTTAAGAAGGAATTTTTTAAAATATCATGGCATTAGTAGTTTATTATGATTTAGAGTTACATCAAATGGATGTGAATACAATTTTTATGAATAGGAGTTTATAAGAGGAAGTCCATATGGAACAACTTGAAGGCTTCACATTAGAGGGTAAAGAATTCATGGTCTGTAAACTTAAGATGTCAATATATGAATTTAAACAAGCTTCCTAACAATGGTATCTTAAGTTTAATGATACCATTATTTCTTTTGGATTTAAGGAAAACACTGTTGATCAGTGTATATACTAGAAGGTTAGTGGAGTAAGTTTATATTTCTGATTCTATACATTGATGATATTTTTTTTGCTAGTAGTGATCTTAGTTTATTATATAAAACTAAAAGTTATCTCTAAGAACTTTGAAATGAAATATATGAATGAGATATCCTACGTGATAGAAATAGAAATATTTCAAAATAGATCACGTGAATTTTTAGGATTGTCTCAGAAAGCATATATTGAAGGAGTTCTAGAAAGATTTGATATGGAATATTGTTCAACTAGTATAGTTCCATATAGAAAAGGGGATAAATTCAGCATAATGCAATATCAAAGAATGAGTTAGCTAGAAGGTAAAGAAACGAAAAATATCTCTTATGCATATATTGTGGAGTTTGATGTATATACAAGTTGGTATAGGATAAAAGATTATATGCTCACACTTAGGAAGATATTTTTAATTGGTTATTTGTTTCTTTTGACTAGAAGAACAATATTATGAAAAAGTACGAAGTAATTTTTTATTACTTTGTCTATTATGAATTTTTAGTTTGTAGCATGCTTTGAGGCTACAATTTATTATTGCTGAATTTATTTCAGGATTTGGAGTTATGGGTACCATTTTCAGATTGCTGAAAATTTATGCTGCAATTGTTGATCTTCTTGTATGAAAAATGACAGGTATTCTAAAGTTGAAATACTTTATCATTAAAGAAGATGTTTAGAATTAACGAATGTCTATTGAATATATAAGTACACAACTTATGATTGCAATTCATTAACAAATGGACTACCACCCAAGACATTTATGGAACATGTTAAAAGAATGGGTCTTGAATGTAGTCAATGATGATTATTTCTTAATTGTGGATTACTTAATAGTGCTTATATATATATTTGATATTTTGCGCTGATTAAATGTGTTCATGATATTTCCTATTAATTAATGTATATGAACGTATTGCTTTAATAAATGGTAATAGGAATAGTCTTGGAAAAGATATTATTGTTAGATCATTATTGATATTTCTCATTTATACACTATGTTGAATAGGTTACTAGTGTTGTGGTACATGGAAGGTACTGTGTCATTTAGGGACATATAACCGCCATGACTTGCATTAGTAGTTTATTTACCATGGTATTTATGATGATCATATTAATATCTTAATTTGATTTATGGTGCACGCTAATGACTATTTTTACTAAATCACTACAAAAGTTATCATATGTGCCAAGTGGGAGAATGCAAGATTATTTATTTAATTGTGGCCCACATGATTTGGACATGCGACATATTACTTGGTGGCTAAATAAATAGATATCAATTAATATTATTTATTCTTGGTCAACTTATAATTACTTTTTTGGTAATTACTTATTGGAGAAGTGTTTTCCTTTCTTATTCCTTATTTTGATGGAAAGTAGAATTATATTACTAAAAGGAAAACTGGTCCTCTCTATGCCTTTATAAAAATGCATATACTCCATCAATTATGTACAATTAATGATACAACACGTAAAAGTTTTATATGTGCAAAAGGCCAAGAGAGAGAAATCGGTTTTCACGTTTTGACTATTGCAGTTTAGCACGTTGTTCGTTTCGTAGAAAGGATCTCGACGTTGGATTTGATCTGTACGATATTTGCCATCATATCTAACTATATTTATTTATGCATTATAGATATGTGAGAATAATGAAGTTCTATAAAATTATGAGATTCATGTTTATTTGTGATGAATGGTTTAACAGGAATAATTATAATAGTTTACAAGATATTGATCACCAATCCATTCATAAACTTTACTTTTGGTACACACACAATTCAAAAAAGGAAAAAAGAAAAATAAAGAAAAGAGATTTCATGTACGTTTGGACTTGAGGAATTGGATTTCAAAAAAAAAAAAAAATTGAGGATTTGGGTTAGATGGATTTGATATATTGGGCCCAAATCCATGGAACTCAATTGTCTGTTTGTTTCGGCTTATGGATTTTAAATCCAGTTAAATCTGCCCATAAATTTGAGGGCCCAAAAACCATTAATTTATTTGAAACTGAGTCTAAATTTATTCATGTATTTTTTAATTGGTACTCACACATACTTGTCTATTTTAAAATTTAAACCCCTCACCTACTTTTGAGAAGTAAGACACTGACCCCTTGGTAAAGAAAGTATAATAGTAGTGATGTAATTTTCAATTTGATAGCTATCTATATTTTCATAATTTTTCTGCCAATGTAAATAATAGTCTCTCAACTTGACTACTAGGACTTGTTTTTCCTTCCTATTTACCCAATTATTCATATTATTTCATTAATATTCTTTGAAACGTTGCTAATCCAAATTCTCAATTTCTCGGAGGACTTTCCAAAAGCGCGCCTAATCGCCTGTGTTAGATTTTAGAACCACAGCAAGCCCAAGCGCGTTCGTATCTGCGCAAGTCTCTCTCTACACAAGCAGCAATGGCGTCCTCGCCCCCTCCCTCCGAAGTTCAACTTCTTCGACCTTCAAAAGTTGAATCTCAGCTCTCAGCTGTCGTCTACGGTTCTCTCTCTCTCTCTCTCTCTATATATATATATATATATATTACTTCGTTAACTTCCATATCTCTGTCGATCGATTGTTATGAGAAATTCACTTTCTCTCTCGGACATAGAATCGGTGTTTGTGAAAATTTCTAATTATACGATACTTAGCATCTGTATTATCTGTGTGTGTATATATATTTGCATATTTTCGTCAAATGCTTGAATTTGTGATGATTATATTCTATTAGGTTTTATATTACATCGCCAGTCTTTGTTGTGACTCAATGTTCGTTACAATTTTGTCAGCTCTTTTTGATTTGTTTGGATTGTTAAATTAAGTTACGTGAGTTGTTTTTGTTAGAATTGAACCTTCAATGGACGATTTTCACAGCATTTGTGTGATTTTGATTGCTCTCATCAACTGTTTGAAGTTGATTATCTTCTGCAAATTTTGAAATTACCCTAATAATTTTTGTGACAAATCAGTGTGGGATTCTGTTTTAATGTGTGGACTGAAAAAAATTTGTTAAGTAGGCTCAGAATAAAATTTTGATTGATGACGTTTGAAACTCTACAAGATCTTCTCTATGAACATGTAAATTGATACTTCTAATTTTTTGATTAATTTTGTTACCCCATGAGGCTGTTGGTTTTGATTTTTTTCGTCAAATGCTTGCTAAGTTGTTGCTACTGGAGATTGTTAACTTCTACTTGTTGGAGACTGTTTGCTTATTAACTTTTTCTACTGAAAATGTTGGCAGTTTTTGTTAAATGGTATTTCTTGTAGGAATAAATTAGATATGTGAAGCCAGTAATCAATCTGAGTACTGCAGCTGTTAAGAATTTTACTATCATGCAGCCATATATGGAATTTGGTTTTTTTCTGAAATAATAGGGGAGTTTTACTTGAGTGTTTGAATAACTGATTGATTTTCCCAAATTTGAACCTACTGCAATTCTTGACCATAGGTATTTCAAAGAAAAAATAAATTTATATCTAGTGATTTTTACCAAATCTTTCTCTATAAAAGAAAGAGAAAGCATTCATTCAAATTTTTGTTAGTAAAGTAACTCTAATATATATATATATATAGAGAGAGAGAGATGAAATCAAGTCTGTCTTTGTTTGTTGTTGTTGTTTTTTTCCTATTTGAAAATTGAGGATTTCTTTCACATTTCTATGTGTTATTCATGCATTATAGTTTGATAGAAATATTGACCAACTCATTGAATAACTATAAGGTTTTGAATAATAACTTCCTGAGCATAGCTGACTCTTTATACTTGATTATAGTTTGAAAATACCAAATTATCTATAATAGCTCCATAGTTCCAACTTATGCTTCCTCTCCTATACTCTCCCCTAACGACATGCATTGCCTTCCCCACATTCATATTTGTACACAAGTCAATCTTAAATCACGAATTATTAACAACGACAAATGATGTTTTCTTATTTTTAATTACTTTTTGTCACTTTTTACAAAGCAAGATTATGATAATGATCATGACTTTGAGATTGTGATTTTATTCTCACCTTTTCCACCTAATATCAGAAGGAAGAGAAACATTGTAAGAGTTTGTGCTTATCTGCTAAAAAATTGCTAACAGTAAATGGTCAATTTGGTAGCCTTACTGTATACGTTGCAAAGAAATAGCATTTTGGACATAGAAGCAAGTATCCTTCATAGGTTTCATAAGAGATAGAAAGTTGAAAAAATACTTATTCATATAGTTGCTAATTCTCTGGTCAACAATATAATTATAGAATTGATGTTCTTTTCTTCCCTCATGCTTTGGTTGAGTAATTAAGTGGCTTTTTTTTTCTTATCTGCTAAAAGTTTGACATCCAAAAGTGTCTGGTAATATGCTTAGTGTGTTCAATAAACATGTTAAAGATACTGGTCTGTAAATGGTTTCTGATATATGTTGGGTGCCATAACGTTTTCGTAATTGTGATAGTTAAAAGTACGTGATTTGCATTTAAGAATCCCTCAGTTATATTCGTTTTTCTTCTGCTGGCATAAAATTTAGTCTTTGTTTTTATGTTGCAGATCTCTCACAGCAGGTGCAATCAGCAATGGAAAACATGCTTAAGATGATAAAGTGAGCTTATAATTAGTGATAAGAATTTGCTTCTTTTCCACTAATGAGTATCTAATGGATAAAGGATAAGCAACTTGCTGCAAACACTGTTGATTTCAAAAAATAGAACTTCCACGCTTTCTGTATTTAAACTCATTAGCCTTCTTTCATTCAGTGGTTGCATGACAAACTTATTGCTTTTCCATTATTACCACGTCCTCCTCTCTTTTGTTCTTTGCAGAGGAGATTATGCTGTTTTAAAAGCTAATGAAGAATACAATTTTGTAGTTTCTGTATTGAACCTTCTGTGATACTTCTTGCCGTGCTGTAACATGCTCATTTGTCTTTTTTCCTGTTCTTCTTACTATTGCTCGGAACAGTTACAGTAACTCAGGCCTGAAGCTTATTTCTGTATATTATTTTATTTTTTCAGTTTTTGATCAACTTCCCCAGTTATATTCTAGCACTTTTGTTTTTTTTTTTTTTTTTTCCCGGTATTTTTTTCCTGGTCTTGTTAAATATTGATTTCAAATTGCTGAGAATGTATTCTCCCTCTTTCTCTATCTCTAATCTCTCTCTTCATTCTCTTCATGTCTTTCATTATAACTTTTGTCAATTGTGGAGGGCTAATTAAATCAACTATCCACTATACATACACTTTGCTACGGTTCTATTTCTTACATTTATCTTTTGTTATTACTTCTTACCTCTTCCTTTCTGCAGTGAAATTGATCAAAACTCCACTGGAATAACGGAAGATATAGAGAAGAGTAAAGACTCTGCTCTTGAGAGGAAGAAAACTCTGGAGGAAGAGAAGGACCGTTTTCAGAGAACTGCTTACTCTGTTCTGGACATGCTCAACAACAGGGAGATCAGATAAAAGCTGTAGGTCTACCATTCTCCTTTGCTAACTCTTGCTGCTTTATATGAAACAAAATTTTCAAGATATCAGCAAAATTTTCTCAGAGATATGTTGATGATTAGATGTTATTCTATTATGACACTGTATGGGGTAAATTAAATATTTTTCAACTTTTCCTTCATTTTGTTATAACGCATCTTATGTTTTTAAAGAACAAAGCTAAGTGGTACGAACACGATACTACACAGATATGTTGACACATTGGATCCTAAAAAAGGAAGACTATATATAAGTATAAAATTCAATGTATACAGATCTGTTGAACAGAACAATAATAATTTTAGTTAATTTTATTTTCTACACTAAGAGTTACATAGTATAGAAGATGAATTTATGTGAAGATCATATTATTTATATAATTTGCTGCTTTGTCATTACAATTATATATTTCGTCTAATGAAAAGGTGTTATTACATGTCTCACTTCTGGTAATCATGTCTATAATGTCATTTTTTTTTTAAAAAAATTTGGACAATTTGAGGTTTATTCATATTATTTCCAAGATTGTCAGGGTGAGTCGGTGACTACTCTTAGATGTGCTTGTTTTATATAATTGTGTTTGGGAGTGTCTAGGATGTGTAGCCAAGTGTCAGGGATGTGTAGGCCAAGAGTCCAAAATAATGAAATTTATTTTTAAACCATGGACAAATGTAATAAGTGTCAGACATGTGTCCAAGAGTGTCCGTTAAGTGCCGGTGTTCAACACCGACATGGCATCTTCATAGAAGTGACGCTTCTTAAGCTCGAAAAGTATTAAACACGTAGGATGTTATTTTCCCAAATATTATACTAGTTCTTATAAGATAAATAATTGATCATTCTCCATTAAAGCACCGTAATCTTCCACTTGAGAGTCATTTGTCATGAGAATTGAATATCCTATTTTCCCTAACTTCTTTTCAGCATCCAATAAATGTAACAAGATTGAGGAATTTTGTATTGGTCAGGCTGCTTGTGCTGATCGCTCATTCAATATACAACTAATGTATAGGTATGATGATATTTATGAATACGCGGAAATCTAATGATGTTAATTCTCTGAAAAAACTCTGAGAAATAGAGGGCCATGTGATGTGAGAGTGTGTGCAAGGCCCAAAATAGATCTAGAGGGGCTGAATAGATCTTTTCTGGTTTTAACTAATATTAAATGATTTTTAAATGTTCACAGTTATAATTTATAATGCATTAATATCAATTTTTAAATATAGAGGAAAAATAAATAATCAAACAATCACACATACATATGATTTTTACGTAAAACAATCCTAAAGGGAAAAAACAATGGGAACTAGTTGAGGCAAAACACAATTCATTATAGGAGGAAGTGGTTACATATTAATTTACCATACTCTAACCCAAGAATCCCTTAATCCCTACCTGTCAGACTTGCACAAGATCAACTCCAGATTTTCCAGCCGCTGATCCATATTATTCACCATTGATATTGACACACCTAAGATTGCCAAATGTTCGGGAGATACTTTATCAATCATTTTCTTCATTGCTGTTGAATAGCTCGTTTGTACACATCTTTTATTTATTTTCCCGCCCCCAGTGAGTTATAGACACAGAAAGGTTAAATCTTTGATCATTCTATCATCAATGATTGATCTGCAAAAACTTCTGGATACTACATTTGTCAGCTCTCCCACTGTCACCCTGAAAATTGCTAACTCTGTCTTATGTAAAGTTTGCAGTGTAAGATCAACCTCTGGATTTGAAATGAACTATTTATGTCAGTGGATTAGTTCAATACAGGAGTCTAGACAAGGGGTGTAAGCCGAAAAAATATTCATAAGTAGTTGTGAATGGAGTTGAGGTTACCAAATTTTTAGGAGTTGGTATCTATTTTTGCGTATTTGCTTCACATATGGTTCCTTGAACCACATTTTTTAAATGAATAATTTGAATCATAGACCTACAATGAAATATAGAATCAACCAACATTTATCAAATTGGAAGAAGAGTCAGAAGAAATGGTATGATGATAGGCCAGACTAGGTTACCGAATTCTGCATAAGGGTACCCCTTTAGAGCTTATTTAAGGTTATGTGATAAGCATGACCTTTATCAGGCAGACAAGAGTCTCTATGATAGTGTGATACAAATTAAGTGTAGCACAATTCATTTATTAGAGGGTTGTGATTGTACAGTGAAAATTACTTGCTGTTTTAAAATCATGCAATGGCACAGTAACTTGCCTTCGGTTATTAATCTGCGAAGTATTTGCATAACTATATGGAGCAGGTTAAAAATTGTTGATAATAGTGTAGGACCAACGAATTGTTCGGCTCCTTGCTACATGTGACTGGAAAAACCCCATAGCAGAAAGAATTGGTGGATGACATAATTGTGGTTTTCAATTTGTGAAGTAGTGATTATTCCAGTTTCATCACGGTGTATTAATTGCTTGGGAAATGTACTGAAAAATTTATGAGATATAACATTTTCGAATTAAAGAATTTGTTGAAGAGTTCCTAACCTGAATCAAAGTTGGAGATGTTCGACTTTCCATTATCATTATCTGGCTAAACATTTGCTTAAAATCATGATGACTAATAATTAGGATTACCTGAGAAAGCCTCTTAGTTCTCACTGTATGAGTTTGTTCAATATTAAAGTTTCCCTATTTCTCCTAGCATGTCGTTGGATCCTAATTATAGAGAAAAACTAAAAAACCGGGAGTAGTTAACATTTACTAAAATGTCTTGTTCTATGATCTGTATTGAAATTTTAGGTTCACTGGTTTTTTCTGTTTCATTTTTGCCCTTTTCTATATATGATAGATTTCTAAAATGATCTGCATGTCAGTGGAAAAGCCCAACACAACAGAAGTAGAACACTAGTTTTGAGTTCTTCTCCGAACAACAGCAGCACGACTACTTTGGCAATAATGTATTGTTCATTTGCAAATGCAGGTTGCCGTTGGAACTTTGTAAAGACAATGGTCATGTTCTTTTGTCGGAAAGGTATGAAGTATTGGAGAAGTCTCCACGCTTGGTGCTGCATAATATCAGTCATACAATAGAGACCGGGATAATAATTTTAGATATTATATATGTATAGATCGATCTGATAGATGGTTCTTTCTATCAACTTGAGATTTGCTTCAAATTGGATCCATATTTCTCGTATTATCTGACAATTTCGTTAGTTGAATGGATTATGGACGACCTTTTGTTAAGCAATTTACCTTTCAAGGAAATTTGCATTGATTGTTGACGATTCTAAGATGAAATGTTATGTACTATCTGAGTACGAGATAGAGCTGCTAACTGATGCTTTTTCTTTTTTTTTTCTTCTAAGCTTAAGGCTTTCCTGGGAATAATTATTGCTCATGTATGAATTAATTGTGTTTGATGTGTAGTCGGCTCTATGGATTTATCTATGTCCTTCTAACACAGCCCTGGTGTTTTCAATATACGAAAATTATAAATCCTACTAAATAGAGGAGCCTTTTTTTTTAAGCTTAGAATATAGTCATTGAAGTTTACTCATCACTCTGCATACCAGTCAACATGTTTCACACACGCGCGCACACACACACACACACACACACACACATATTAGCAGTCAGATTTTGCATCTTGGACTACAAAGGATGAATTGATGAACATGTGAGAAATAGAGGAATGAACAATGATTATTGATATATATCTCTGTGTGTGTGTGTAAATATGTATGTTCTGATATAGAGAATCAGAATTTGATGTGTGTATATATATCTGTGTATGTATGTGTGTAAAGATGTATGTTTTAAATTGCTCTGATTACTTTGCATGTTCTTGCAAGTCACGAAACACATGCCGATTTGACATGGCTCTATGGCTCGACTAAAACTCCTTCAATTGAATCGAGACACCTTGATTGGAAGAGTTGTACATCTATGTTGACAGTCTAGCCCCTTCCACGTGGATTCAAACAAGGATCTGATGGCTTAGCTTTCATTTGAAGTGGTGGGACCAAGTGCAAAAAATCCTAAATAAAATTGTCCTCTATTGCCTGCTTTAGATTGCAATCTAATTTTTAAAATCTACTAATAACATGAAATAATATGATATTTTTACAATAACTAGAAAACTGTTTTATTAATATGTTTATGTGAATGAAGGTCAAGATTATAAATTGGGACATATACAACCTTAATTAATGTCGGTTACAAAAATTACAAAGTAATTAAATTATAATTATTCTAATTAAGCATGTAACACCATAGTCAGGATGGCCGAGTGGTCTAAGGCGCCAGACTCAAGTTCTGGTCCTCGTAAGAGGGCGTGGGTTCAAATCCCACTTCTGACACCTAATTTCAATTTTTTGTTTGTCTCAGTCTGAGCGAGCACTGATACTTTTAAGGATGCGTTTGACTGGATAATGTACAAATTATTATTTTTTTGATAGATATTGGGATTTGCTTATGTAATGACTTTTAAAATTTAATGAAATAATGCTTATTATATATTACGTCTCTTATGAATTATGATTGCAAATCTCTTATTTGTCTTGGGAGAAATTGTACTTGAGCATAGTTAGCATAAAGAATATCCTATCCTTTGTTTGTTTGTTTTTTTTAGTATTTCTCTTATTTAATATTGCTCAATATAATAGTCTTATTGAATGATTAAAATAAAAAAGAGAAATATTTATGTTTTTGGGATTATTATATATAAATGGTGGTAATGATCTATATTTATCATTTAATGAAGTCAAAATATTAGTTTTGAAAAAATGAAGTTGACCAATATGCTGACGTGAATATGAAAAAATTACTGTTTCCTGACTGAAGTACCACTTTTTGACTGAGGTACCGCTTATTGTACCGTGCACAAAAAGTGGTACAAAAAGCGGTACCTGCACAAAAAATAATACCTATGTGTCTAAAAGTGGTAGGGTAAATAATATTTTTATATGTTTTCATTTTTTCGAAACAAAGTTTGACTCCATCAAATGATAAATACGAGTTATTAACACCATTTATATTAAATAATCCCTATGTGTTTTTACTTGTGCAGAGCAGAAAATTACATGCTTGGATTGATAATTGTATTGGCATTTTCCGTTTTTAAGTTGTTTATTATACATCCGAGCCAAATGGGTAACTCTATCATTGCACATATACATTACATAAAGGACTAAGCATTCCATAACAAATTTTAATATATTCAAACATATATTTTTTATCACATACACCAAACGTTGATTTCACAATTATTATATAATATATATATATATATATATATATATATATATATATATATTAGTTTGGGGATTTATTTAGCTACGTCGGAGTTTGATGCAACGTCTCTTAGCAAGGGTATTCGCAGAAACAAGTATCAATTGTTATGCACCGTCCTTTGGCCCAAGGACCCCTCTTCTCATGACACACGTTGACGCACCAGTCGCGGTGGCAGAGGCCACCATTTGCCATGGAGATTCTGTCCTGACATCCGTCCACCATTGTTACTTCATTACCTGCATGAAAATATGAATAGTACGTGTTATCGTTTAATATATTATATTCATATTTGCATTATTCTTTGGAGATTCAAATTCTATTAGAATCACATTCAAGGAATTTTTTTCCATGATTGTCTATTGCATGTGGGATCGGGAGACTGCATGTCAGTATTTGTCTCGTAGTAAATTATGAAGTGTTTTAAGAGATTAGATACCACCATTGTTGAAATATATATATGTATATATATAGATATATACTTTCCTTAATTTTTTCCATAACATGTTTGGAAAAAAGAAAATAGTTAAAAAAAGATAAGAAAAAAGTGAATAGATTATGAATGATATGATGTACCTGCAGTGAAGAAGAGCACAAGCAGAAGGATGGTGAAAACTGAGAGATTTTTCATGGTTGAGTTTTCTTTGTATTACCAAAATGATGATCTATGGAGTGTGTGAATGAAATGGAAGGGTTAGAACGTACAATTTATGAGAAAATTGTGGGTATGGTTATTAAATGATACATTAACTACGGTTACAAGAAGATAAAAGAAAGAAGATTGAAACGTGGTACCTATTAAATGATCCTAACTATGCGGGCAACCGAAGATATATGCTCTTATTAACTAGGTCAAAGTGAAGGAAAAGAAAATCTCCATATCAAAACCAGAGATCAGAGATTGTCTCAATCTCATTTGTGCATTTAATATGGAAATTGTAGGAATACTACTTTTGTCATAATGGGTGATCTTATTAGAGGATATTAAGTTATCACCCAAGATGTACAATCTTTTTATGGTTAATGTTTGTTAATAATAAATAGGAAATGATATTTATTTTTGACCGACTTTAATATCTTAAAATCGAAAAAGTATGATGTGTTATTATAAAATTTAATAGCATATTACTACTATTGTTTGTTTCCATAAATTACGTTAATTTTTCTTTCTTTATTTACTCAATTTTTCATAACTCATTTCCTTATCTTTTCAGTTTTTCATAACTGTATCATATGTTTTTTCGTTTTCATAGTATATTTCCTTGTACTAAAATATAAAATTTTGATTGGTACAAAATTTAGAACAAAAAGTGCAATTTTTTTCAATTTTTCAATGCTTTGCAATTTTTCTTTAAATTTTTCGCTTTGTTTTAATTTATTTCTAGAGTCATATAGATTATTAGTTTTGATCATTATAGTAATGAACTCATGCCTATCTAATTATATATAGGAGATGCAATCTTAAGTAGCTATGCGTTAGAGAGATGCAATGTGTTGTATATATAAAACACATATATAATTTGATATACATGGTGATTGAAACTCTAATCGTCAATAATGATATTATATTAAGATGAAACCTAAAAAATTGACTACAACTTTTCAAATAGTTAATTTATTTGACACATAAGTAGCCACATAGATTCGGTGAAGTAATAGGTTTTTATTTGTTAGGGTACTTGGAGAACCAACGGGCCAATGGCTTAGCGGTACCAGACCTCTATTTTCTAAAAGGAGGTCAGGAGTTCGAGTCTATGAATACCTTCTAAGAAGAAGAAAGAAAAAAAAAATAAAAAAAAAACGGGAACTTGGAGAGGAAGTCTGTTAGTACAAATAGGTAAAAGATGACCTAAGTCACTTATAATTTTAAGCTTAGGCTACTTATTGAAATTTGATCGAAAACTCCCATTAGACTTTGAAGAAGAGCTAATTGAGTAAAAGGAACAAAAAATTGTGTCTAAAATATGTGACCTCTATCTCGAAGAGAGGATAAAAAACTGCTTAGTCAGCTAGTAATCAACTCGAAAAGGCAAACTTACATGATTGATGAAACTAATTCTTCAAATATTCATTATGTGTTCTATAGAAAAAATTATGGGTAACATGTTGTTGAAGATGCTGCTTTATCTCTTTGGGGGTGTTCAGCCCTGTCTGTGACGGTGTGATTAGAGAATATTGCAATTGGATGTATGTATATATATATATTTACATGTATAATTCAAGCCCATGTTGCACTTGGATGGCATCATTTAAAACATTCAAAATTGCATCACTGCTATCTTGTGCCCCAGTTGGGTCTGCACCACACCCAATTGGATAGAAAACTTCTAAACCATATATACACATTGAAAAGAAAGCCATTAATATATATATATATATACAAAAAAACCAAAAAGAACACATAAAAGCAAAAACAAAAAATATTAAACACATAGAATAAAAAACTGTCTTACCTCTTCTGGATTTGAAGCCAAAATAGTGGAGGCTTTTTTCTCCTAAAGCTTTGTTTGGAATTCCTACATCTTCTGTGTGTCTAAAAGAACATGTGTATGTGATATGTGTTCGATACATTTGGTTGAGCATATACTTAAAAAAGTATATCTAATCATTCAATTACATTATATTATTACTTCAAAATAAGTTAAATGCCTACATTGAACATTATATTGGATAAAAACATTACTTTACTTTAAAAACTAAAATAAAATAAAATAATTAACAAAACGAATATTTAGCCGCGTCCGTGTGTCTTTTTATTTGGAAATTTGACACGTCCGACGTATGGATACATACCTATGTCCAACACCCGAGTCCATATAACATAGATCAAAACCAAGCATTGTCCCCATTTAACATGGTCTCATCTAAAATTATTTAAGGGAATAATAATCTGCCCTTTAGCGACCCAGCTTCCACCATCTTATCCAGATGGTGAGAGTCACAATGCAGTAGATTTTAAGATTTTAATGCTCCAGCCTATTGAGTATCAACCGATTTCCTCACAGAACACCGAAGACCCACTCGAGAATTA